CCCTTCGGTTCGACTGAATCGAAGGGCTCCAGCGGCCTAAGCGAGCTGAAGGATCAGCCGAAGCTACGGCTAGATCTTTCGGCAGGTAAGTGAATAACCCTCATAGTATTTTAAAAGATGTATCTCTTTTCCATAGGGGTTCTGAGGCCATGTTTACATCTATGTGATGTGGGAACACCTACATTCCCGCAAGCTTTCCTGCATCTTCTGTGACAATGTTTGGTGTGCTGCGGTGCCATTGTTTCTTAATGGCACCCCAATGCACTATCCATCGCACGTGCATACCTCGTACCACAACACATAGTAACTAATTATCATGTGTTGCAGCGCAGTGCTATTTAGATGTGTAAGGTAGCCTATTCAAATGAATGAGGTACTCTACTGCAACACACAGTAATGCATGTAATAACTCAATAACTGCAATGCATGTGCAATGTCGCATTGCACAGGTGTGAATCAAGTCTTACTGTGAATAACTGACTAGAGAGATTCACTTCAGCTTGTACTTGGAAAGTGTAGACTGTAACACTTTGGGGACTACAAAGATGATGTATGAATGTGCCGAGTGTAGACAATTATAACTGCTGTTGTACATTAGAAAAAAAATGATTTTTTTTTTACCCTGGAATCTTGCTTCTGTTTTGTAACTACTAGAAGTAACAAACAACCCTAAAGAAGATGTGGGGGGTGCTCCACCTATTGTTGTGAATGATGCATCACGGTTAAGGCATGGGGCAAGTTCTTTGGGAGGTGTTATTTATATTGAAACATCCACCTTTTGTCACAAAATTCACGGAAAATCTCTTTGAGAGTTATAGAAAAGTCTAGGCTCAGCTAAGAAAAGTTACTTTCAATGCAACAGCAGGGGCTGTTGACACCTAATCTATATCTCAGCTTTGTATAATAAAATGGAATCACCTTTGTATGAACTCTTCTCTGTGCTATGGCAGACCACAAATGTGCCATGTTAATGTACTATTCCTCTCCTGGCAATGATATGTCTAATTCTCCATTTCTTATTTCCTAATAAACTGAGCTACAGTTTGACTTAGACTCCCTGCTGCTTTCCACAGCATTTTTTCTCCAGTGTCAAATTTCCAATGGAAGAATTGATGGAAAATCGTGTACACGCTTTGCAAAATGCATACAGAACGACACCATCGAAATGCACAAAATCTAATTTACCAAATCCTTTTTTCTGCATGAAAGAAGGATATAGTGACAGCTATTTTTTGTTTCGTTGTGACAGGCTGACAAATCCATACAGCATATAGTAAATGCAGCCGCATTAAGAATGCTATTAGATCTAATAATATTTAAAGAATAAGTGAGCCTTCATGATAAAAATAATAACTGTTGTTATCAAACCTGGTTGTGCCATGTCTAAAGCTGGCCATACACCTTACAACCATCGCTAGACTTTAACGTAATTAAAAAAACGTACGATCTGCCCATCTTGGACAGGGGCGGGCTTCTAATGACTGCAATGCTGAACGGGCAGTGTGCGCCTGCGCACACCGGCCCGTGCGGCATTTGTCTTACGAGCAGGCTACAAACCCGCGGAAAATCATACGCTTTTCGGCTGGTTTTCAAACATGCTCGTAAGACAAAAGACGTGCGACCGTACAGTAGAAACGGTCGCACGCCTTCCATACACCTGTATGGGCACCTTAACAGTTTGCAAATCGTCATATATTATTATATAACACATACTGTATAATATAATAATATATTATATAATCCCAGACATCTACTGCTGTTGGGGCTAGATACAGGTAGACACTCTTTACAGATGCCACTGATTTGCCACTGGTGGCTCAGTAATTAAACAATACTACTATGAAGGGGTCCATGTGAGGTTGCCACCCTTTCTTGGAAGAAATAATACCTCTATGACCTAATCCTAATAACAATGGTTACAAGCATGGGTGTCCCTAGCTTAATTGCCACTTTAGACAGTTAGGAAAGTGAGGGGGGTGCACCACCCAGCCCTGGCCTGCATTCTGCCCAGCTCACAGAAGTCACTGGTTGGCAGGAGCTGGGTGGGACACCAGTCAGAGCATCCAACTCAGCTCCTGGCAACCAATGACATCACTAGTTGGCAGGAGCTGGACGGGATGCCAACCAGAGCATCCCAGGTTGCTAAGAGACGGAAGGGGAAATGTATATGGCCTTTATACACCTTCCTGCCTAGCTTTTAGCAACCTGGGATGCTCCACATGACCCAAAGAGATGCTGTCTGAGACAACCTGAAGCTACGGCCAGATCCTTCGGCAGCTTCGTGAATAGACCCCTATATGTACATACAAATGATCATATATTTGGTATTTTTTTTTTACTTTGAAATAATATCATAGGTAAATGATCATACAGCTTATCAAAATATCAAACTAGCCTAGCTACCAATCATGACATCTAAGAGCAGTTCTAGCAGTAAAAGGTAACAGAACCCAGAAATTGTTTACATCTTCTTAAAACCTTTACTTTGTGCTCTATGTTAAGTCTAATTTTATTTTTATTTTACTTACCTTTTTAGAATGTCTTCAGGCTAGTTTTGTGGCTCATAGGGTCCTCTTGGCCTCATCTCTGGTACTGCCCTTGATGATGCCGAGAGCATTGCTTAAGTGGTGATGTTAGCACCGCTTTCTGCATCATTACACTGGAAGTGCAGGGTGCCAAGGTGACACCTTTCCGTGGGCATACCCATGACCCCCTGCACTCACAGTATGTGTTTCTTTCCTTAGTCTTTCCTGTTGAATAATGCTGGACATCATTCAACCTGGAAGAATGAGGACACCTTGTGGCAAGGTACTGTGGTGGAGCTGCACTATTTTTTTTTGTACCTAAAAGTTATAAGGTCATGCATTTGTCAATAATACAAATCACCTCGCACCAAAGATGTAAAAAATGACAAAGCTACCAGGTACTGGTACCAATAAAGGTGATAAAATGTAAAATTATATTTCAAAATGTGCCAAGCTAAAAATGTGTCTTAAATATGTGTATTAAATAAAATCAACAAATACAATTCCTGGAGCCCCTGAAGAAGTCACGTGTTATGACGTAACTTACGTAGGGCAGAGCAATTCGATGCAGGAACAAGCTGAGCCATGGGACGTTTGAGACTGCCAGGATCCATTTTGTATATGCTTTTGGTTGGATTATTTGAGTATGATTTTAATTAAAGTGCTTATACTTTTTATATGGTACGCACTATGGTATGTTGATTTTCTATCCATATGTAAGTCCTTAATTGCCTGTGAGAGGACACCTCAAGACCGCGTTATTTCCTTGTATATGGGCGTCTCACTGATAATTAAAGGGACCTGCATAAATAGACCTAACGTGTGGATCTGAGATTAAGGTGAGCCTTTCCCCCGCTGGGTGTATGGATTCACAGAGGTTGGTGGAGGGTTAAAAAACAATCACGCACAGAACACTAGAAGAGAGTGCTACTAACCTGCTAATGTGGAGACTTTTTTGATTCACCATTTCCTTCCTTTGGTGTGAATTTCACAGTGTGAAGCACTTTGAAAACTTTATTGTTACACTATATGTTTCAGCGGTTTTGGATCATCATTACATGGTGCACTTTATTTATTATTGTGATTTGTAAATTCTATTTATTGACTTATATACAGGTGAAACTCGAATAATTAGAATATCGTGCAAAAGTAATGGCAGTAATTGCTGCAAAAGGGGCCCAAACCAAATACTGAGTACATATGCATGCTTGTACTTTTCAGAGGTCCGATATTGTTCTATGTACAATCCTTGTTTTATTGATTGCATGTAATATTCTCATTTTCTGAGATTGTGGATTTGGGGTTCTTGGGGTTTTCATGAGCTGTAAGCCATAATCATCACAATTATGACAAATCACGGCTTGAATTATCTTGCTTTGCATGTAATGAGTCTATCTCATATATTAGTTTCACCTTTTAAGTTGCATTAGTGAAATAAATGAACTTTGCACGATATTCTAATTATTCGAGTTTCACCTGTAATACACTAAGACACATTTTTAGCTCGGCACAATTTGATATATAATTTTTAATTTCATTATGCATTTATCAGATGACCTCTGACACCCTGGCTTTCAAGCTGAAGCATTAAACTCTCTAAAACTAAAACATGAGGGAGAAGTAACACTGCTTAGTTCTTTTTTATCAATGTGAACCAGTGCCTCCTGACATGAAGAACAGCGTTAACATTTGGTAAAATAATAATCAAAGCATTCATTAGTAAAAAAAAGATGCATTTGCAAAACTTTAATGCATCAGTTGGTCTGCTATATGAAATGCACTATATGTACTGGTATTACACTTCCTAAGAAGCTATTTGCCTCCAGTAACAAGGTGCCTGCAAACAGGGGTTATCTTTGTCTCAGAGCGCCCAAAGAACCCTCAAAACCCAGGGAAAGAGGGTTCCTTCTTATGTAAATTTCAAATTTATTTCCAAAGTTGCCACCTATCCCTGTCCTTTCCTACCTCCTGTGCATCCTACTGGTCTATCATTATGATGGGTACTCTAATCAATATGTGGGGGAAAGGGCCAAACATTGATCTTTAGGTGGTCACTTTTTGTGTAGGAGACCAACCTGGGTTTCAGGGCTTCTCTGGTAGCTACCCTACTTCCAGGCCCATGGAGTTTTCTTTTTCTGGATGCAAATAGCTGCCTAGAAAGTGTTAAGCCTCGGCAGGTTTCTTTAAGTTACGAAGACGGCTAGCTTTTTAATTATTTCTTTCTGGGACAATTTCCTTGTTTTGACCTCAAATCTTTGTGTCTGCAAAGTTCTGAAAACCTCTAAAAAAAAACAAGTTCTGGTCAAGCTAATATGATAACATTTTCCCCTTAGTACTTACAAAGAAAAAAAATTAAGAAAATGTTATTTTTCTACAAATCAGGACGATTGCACTAAAATAAATGTCAATCCCTAATTAGCAAGAATTGTTGTCCAACATGTATCATTTAAAGTAAAATATAAAAAGATCCCATACCTTTGGCCATTTTGGATTAAGAAGTCGTGCTTTGATTGCATCATCCAAAGCTTTTTCATATTGCTGAGTTTTCAGGAAAGCAGCAGACCTGTTGCTGTACAATATACAGTTCTGGGGGTCCACCTGCACAGTCTCGCTGTACAGCTGAATGGCCAGTTCGAAGTCTCCATTTTTACATGCTTCATTGCTCTGGCGTACTTTCTCTATAAATTCTTCTTTACCAAGAATCGAGTTTTCAATCACTTTCCCTCCAAAGGATTTGGCCGAGATGCCTAAAGGCTGCAGCAATCAAAAATACAAATACAGTATTATTATTTATTGTAATGAGACTTTATACTCCGTTTTTTTATTGCATGTTATATAACCCAAAGTATACAGTACCTGCCATTGAACCTCAGAAGGTAAAGCAACAGGTTAATTTTAATAGCCACTCTACCATCAGCCAAAATTCACTTTCCTTTACGTTCCCCACCACTCCATTCAACCATCAGGAGTAAGAAAAAATATACCATCTACATCCAGGTAAGGAGAAGCGTGGGACTCACTCCTCCTCTTTTCACATGAAAGCTCTGGTTCTTGGCCGCTTAGGTATCCAGCACTGCCAAATAGAAGTGGGGAGAAAGGCTTCAACCCTTTGTAAGCTCCCACTAGACTGATCTGAAGTTTACACAGGGGCTTCCACTCTTTGATCCTGATGGCTGAGTGGAGTGGAAAGCAATGGAATACAATAAATACAGGACTAGTTAATACATATACCCAAATAATACATAATAGACATACATTCAACAAAAGAACCTATTATGTTTGAAAGTACTTTATTAAAGTGTAAAATAAAGGAATTTTGGCCAACACAATAACATTAGAGTACAGAGTATTTCCATGATAAAGTATTTGGTAAACATGCTGGACTCTCTGCACTTCTTGACTGAAACCATCCTTGCTAAGAAAGGTATGTGGTGTATGTGCCTCCCCTGGCTCGTTAATTTGTTATTGTATGTTATCTGATATCCAGCTCTTTAGTCACAACACAGACTGTTCAGAGCATAATAGTAAAAAAAAGTAATGGTGTTTGGGTGGTTCTGTGACCATGTATTTTAGCACCTGCTGGCTGCAAGTGGAAAATATTAACAGGGTTATTCACATAAGGGGGAAGAGTTTGGAGAAGGCAGGAGGAGTGAACAATCTAGCCCAAAATAGCTGATTTGGAAAAATTCTCCAATTCAGCTCACTTTCCAGTTCAGCTATGTTGTCCTACATTGTTCACTTCTTCTGCCTTCTCCAAACTCTTCCCCCTTGGTGAATAGCCCTGTAAGTATTCATATGCAAAAGTTGATGTTAACTTGACTAAAAGGAAAGAAAAAAATAAGTAAACAATATATATTTTTTAAATCCTGAACACAGTAAATACATGTAAAATATTATCTCTTTTTTAATGTCGAAGAATAATTTCATCATCCTAAATTTCAGTAATAGATGATGACACTATCGGTAAACATTGTTATTCTGCAAAACATGAAAATAATTATTGTTTATTATTGCATACAATAATGGTACTCAAAGTTCCCATTGAGCAATGGTAGCAAAGGATATTGTTTCCATTGTCTTAGAAATTGTATTTTGCATTCATGTGTCTTGTAGCCAGTATTATATAATTTCTATTACCAAAAGCAATAAAAAAAATAATAATAATAGTGACCTTTACTTTCCAGACTGTTATACTAACATCAAATTAAAACCACTGCCTTCATTAGGAAACAGGCAGCACACCAAAGGTGTATGTCATCATTGGTTTGACATAACTACTACTTAACTTTAAATATAAACTCATAATAGCATATTTGTTCTGAGAGTGAGCAAAACAAAGCAAGCAAGCAAAGCAAATTCTGACTGAACTCATGAAAAATATAGGCTTTCAATATTTTTCCATGAATAGATATTTTGTCATCTTTGGTTCCAAAAACAACCAAAGATTAACAGTTCCAAAAGATGTTTCATTGAATGAAAATATATGAATACCCGTATTAGCTGATGTATAAAAATGTAAGAAATTGCAGAAAATGGAAGCAGTTGCAAACATCAGCCATCACATTCCTTGTTTAATTTTCCAAATGAATAAAAGATGAGACCTGGTTGGTGACTAAAAGCAACCGCTTCAACTACTTCACATTTTTACAGTCTTCCTAGTGTAGCCTGGCTGCTGGCCCTTTAAGCCATGCAGAAGAAAATCCTTCCTGGCCGCAAATTGTTGCCCTGTCTCTGCCAGAGGCCGGCAAAGTGCAAACAGAGGAGCAAAGGAGGACACTGATTGGCTGTAGGTGCAGCCTGGCACTAACCCATCCCTAGCAACAGGGAGGAAATACTCCCATTGGCTGCTGTAGCCAGACTGTGCCCTGCCCATCGGACCCAATAGGGATTGGGTGAAGAGCCTGCAGTGTGGGGAGAGGGGCAGCAAGGAGACTGCGCTGGTTCAGAGAAAGGTGATCCAGAGGCTTGAGGGGACAGCCCACAGGATTGAACAGTGTGGTGCTGCAGAGCTGCTACAGAGATGCGGGACCATGACAAAGAGACTGACTGCAGATTGCTTGGTCGCAGAGTAATATGGGGCAGAACCACAAAGAACAGTGTTCAGAGTTACAGAGTGGTGTCCAGAGCTTCTGTGAAACTGCTGACTCCAGGTAAAGAACGCCTCAATCCAGCTGAACCCATCTAGAAAGGAGAGCTCTGTGTGTGGCCTTCGAGGGATCAGCTTGGATTAGCACTCGTGGTGAGAGGTCTATTGGCCACCTTAGTTTACTGCACTTTACTGTCACCCAGACTGAGCACTGCAACAGGAGATCAGGGCCTCAACGTCGGCAGACTATATTAGAGATTGCACTGGCCAGTCGTATATATAGGGCCTCTTGTAGACAGGCCACATAATTAAGACCTTGGTAACATGGTTTATAACTAAAACCATTCTATTTATTGTTGTTTTAATGCCAAACCTTTTTTTTTCTGCAGAGCTTTCATTTGTTAATAAAGCGCACTTTACACTGCTGGTGTTTTGATGAGTTTTGGGTTGGTTCAGGGCAAATCACCACTGGGAGAAGACAGAAGATCACATCTATCCAGCGGCTCCCTAGGGTGTAGTACTACACTTGCTTCAGGTTTTTTTTTTAGACATTTGCTCCTAAGGTTAAACTCCTTTAGAAACTATTTGTTTTCTATGTTCCCTGTTCACAGTGGTGTCACAATCGCCATAGCGACCCAGGCGGCCGCTATGGGGTCCGGTGCACAGGGGGGCCCGGCCAGGACATCCCCTTGATGCCGTGTGGACCACCTGGGTTGCTATGGCATCTCAGGCTGCTGGCTGTGACTGGCGGGTGTGAGGAGGAAAGTATCAGTGACAGCCAGCAGCTGTGGAAGAGGCTGGGCCCTGAGTAGGCGACGGAAGGGAGGCGGGGACAGCGATGGAAGCGGAGCCGGGGGCCCACCAGCGACCGTGGAGGCGGACAGCGGATCGGGGCTGGCAGGTAAATGGTGTGCAGGGGTGTGACCAGCCCACCTGAGACCCTGCAGAGCCCACCATAGAGAGTCTATAGTGGGCCAAGCAGGGTCAGTCTCAGGTGGGCTGTTTGGGATATCAGGTGGGCTCTGCAAGGAGCGTAACTTAAAATCATAGGGCCCCATACAAAATTTTGCTATGGGGCCCTGTGATTTCTAGTTACACCCCTGCCTGTTCACATCATACATGTGCGGTGATGTGCCAAAAAATGCAACTTAATGGACATGGTTTGAGCAAACCCGAAAAAGGACGATTTTGTGTTTCAAGAAAATAAAAAGATCACTCCACAATTGCTAAAATTTCCAAATATAGCTGAAAAAGATGTTTGTTATTATTCTATGTTCTTTGGTGAACAGCACCAAAACAATACAAGACCAATATAATGTAAGTGTTCAACATTTTACATACCATCTGATGTTTGCTATAATTAGGGCATGTATGCCCACATTGAAATGAACACAAACAGCTGAATGTGCAATCCCATTAAAAAAAATTCCATAAGATTTTGCTGTATGGCACAGCAGTTTTCTACAACACAATTAAATGCGTGTCAAACTCTATGATAGACAGGGAAACATCTGAAAGTCTCACAAAATCATTATGGTTGGAAAGACTAGGTAACATTAATCACCCTTTGTAATCTCAGTGGAAATTTTAATGAATTAAGTGAGATTATATAAGCGCAGAAATGATTGTACAGCTGTAGAGATAATCCTCCACACTCCATAAAAGGATTTGTTTTTGGTTAGACACCTGAATTTAAAGCTGCAAACAAATCCCAGCACTTAGGAACCTTTGCCACTAATTATTTTCATATACTGTTTTCCAAAAATGATGAATTCTAAATACTTGCTCTAACTGCATTACTGGAAAATATTATTAAGATAGAAAGTGAGGACATGGCGGATGCTTTCTGCATATTAAAGTGGCCCTAGCATCAGATATATTTTCTTATGTATGCCAAGTAATGAGTAAGTGTAACACTTGCAGGTATTAATCATCTCACACAGAGATCACAGCACTCCCCTGACAATGTCTTCATCTGTTTTTATTTCCAGTAGGGTGCTTGAGGGCCCGTTCACACCAGACACAGTGCGTTCTAAACCGATTCTGGCCGGAACGCAGTGGAATGCCTTGCGGCCGGCTCACTTTGCAATGCAATCGGCTGCATGGGAACGCGTGGCACATCAATGCCTGCGGTCTGGTCAAAAAAATAGTACTTGCGGCATTTTTGCTGACCAGACCAGACCGCAGGCATTCATGTGCCACGCGTTCCAGTGCGGCCAATCCCATTACGGTTGGAGGGTGTGGCTACGGTGCCATTGAGTTCAATTGACCGTCACGCCCCCTCCCGCCCACAACAAAGTGAGCCGGCCACAATGCGATCCAGTGCATTTCCGTCCTGAATCGGGCCAGAACGCACTGTGTCTGGTATGAACAGGCCCTAAACCTTATGAGCCAGCTGAGATGCTGGCTGAGAGGTGATACAAATGTATCACAATCCTTTTCCCTGTGTGGTTGTTGGCTGTGCTTACAAATGTCTGACAGACATCAGTCCCTGCTGCAGCCTTTCTCACCTTGCGACTTGCTACAAAGTTACAATGTAGCAGTCTGATCACTTTGGAAGAGGAGACTGAGGAAATGCTTCCTCCTGCCTGCAGCAGACTGATGACATCATCTCAGTCTAGTCCCATGAATGGAACTCAAGGATGACTTTTTAAAGGTAAAACGTACA